GAGAAGAAATATTGCTGCAAAAGCCCCAGCTCAGAGTTTCCAGGAACAGGAGCAGAAAATAGAACCACTCAATTCCTGGTGTGAAATAAATTATTCTTTAAAGTAATGCATCACTCCACGAGGTGTTCTGAGGCCCCTGCAGATGAGAGCTGCAGTTTTCTGATTTTATGACACAGCACAAACTGCAGATATGGTTACTTGGGTTAATTATAGCTCTTTAATTATACTTAAAGTGTGACAAATTAATATTTTCCACCATTGAAGCAACTTCTGAAGTCGCCTTATTCAGCTCTGTGGTGCCACCCACCCAGGAATGCCCTGTCCAGGCCATTCCCACTCTTCAACCTTGGGAACCCAAATTTCAGACCCAAACCCCAAAACATGAAATATTCAATATCTCCCAATATCAGCTCAGCCTCCAGTGTAGATAAAAAACAAGTGAGGGAAGAGCAAAGTCACTCAAAACTCTCTTTTTTTTCCCCCCCCAACAATACAAAACTCATGGGGGCACAGCAAAATTTAAATATTTTTGTGAGTTATTAAATACCGCAGACACTTCTGCTGGCGATATTTAGGTCTTGGCTCCTGACACCTCTGCCAGGAGGAAGCAAAGTGTTTTTCAAAGCAGCTTGGGGGTGTTTTTATTCTCCTTCACCGGCTGGTGTTTCCACCAAAAAAGCTCCTGAACACCCTTCAAGGCACCACCAGCAGCTGGCTTTGATAAAAAAACATCAGCAGATTTATTGATTTATGCATTTCCTTTTTAACTCACAAGCAGAGTCTCGCATTACATCTTCAATCTTGTGTTAACATCAATTAAAAACATTTAAAATCCCGGAAAAAAACAAAAAAAATCCCCCAAAAATATTCCCAAATACAGAGTCAGAGCCGGGGATCAGACAGGAAGTGCTGTTTTTTATGAGGTTTTGCAGTGCCAGCCTTCACCCCCTCACGAAATCAGGGCTCCAAAGGCGCCGAGGAGCCCCGGCTCTACCTCTTGGTGTTGATCCAGTGGTACCTGTCCACCCGAGGGCCAGCGAAGGCGGCCGTGGGTCTGTAGCTCCTGTAGCCCCTGTGCTGGCCAGGGTGGGAGCCCTCGGCCAGGTGGGGCTTCCTGTGCAGGTACTGCCACCAGGGAGCCGGGCAGAAGTCGCCAAACTGGGCAGCAAAAATGGGGAAAAGCAAGGTTAAAGTGTGCTGGGGAAGGAAACGGCAGCCAGGACACCCCAATCCCACCCTGCTCCTTCCTGAGGACGCTGGGGCATCCTTCTGCCTCCTCCCAAAGCTCATCCCACCCCAGGACATCAATGAGGCTGGGAAACCATTCCAAGGACAAACCCAGCTGTGCCCAAACCCCCTCCGGTGACTCCATCAGGGCTGGTCACCATGGAACAATTCAGTTCTTCAAACAGTTCATGCACGGCTCACCCACCCACAGCACCACTGAGGCCAGGAAAGCTTTCCAAGGACAAGGACAAGCCCAGCTGTGCCCTAAGCCCTGTCCCCAAGTGCCACAAATTTTAAACCTCCCCCAGGGATGGTGACTCCATCAGGACTGGTCACCACCCCGTGGAACAACTCCATTCTTCAAATACTTACAACACGTGGAGTGGTATAATGAGAATTAATTAGAAAGAAATAGGGCCACAACTCCTAAACTTTGTTTCACAAAGCATGGACAATTGCAACACTTAAAACCAACTTTTATGGGACAGTGACGCCACCTGCCAGGGCTGGAAAATCCTTCCAGGGATGAAATAGCACCTGAACCATCCCTGGAGCAGCTCAGGGCTGTTTTCTCCCATCCTGTCCCTGGGAGAAGAGCTGACCCCACCTGCCAGGGCTGGAAAACCTTTCCAGGGATGAAATCACACCTGAACCTTCCCTGGAGCAGCTCAGGGCTGTTTTCTCCCATCCTGTCCCTGGGAGAAGAGCTGACCCCGCCTGCCAGAGCCCCTCAGGAGGGATTTGAGGGTGAGGAGCTCCCGCAGAGCCCCAGCTCACCTGGTAGATGCTGTTGGGGTTGCTGACGGTGGGGATGGCTCTGGGCTCCCTGCTGAAGCTCTCCTCGTCCGAGGAGCTGCTGGAGTGATAGCCCAGGGCTGCCCTGCCCACGGCCAGGCTGATCTGCTGGGGCAGCTCGGGGTTCTCCTCCCCACCGAAGTGTGCCACGGTGAAGGGCCGGCTCCTCTCGCCGTACCTGCAAGGGCTCACTCAGTGAGCGGGCACTGACACGGGCATTGCTGAAAAATCCCTGGGCCAGGATTTATCTCCTGGGAGGCTGAGAAACCTCAGAGCAAAAACAATTATCTGATTGCTGTGTTTTGCTGCTTTGGAATGCATTTGAAGATTGTTTCATTTGTTTTTACTGTGAGTTGTTTTAACTCAATGGCCAATCAGTGCCAGGCTGTGTCAGGACTGGAGAGAGTCAGGAGTTTTCATGATTACCTTTTTAGCATTCTGTATTCTCTAGCATAGTTTAGTATTTATTATATAACCTGTGTTTATCTATCTTTTTATACACTAGACATATATAATAGATATTTATATATTTTATAGAATACATATTATATAATACATACAACATATGCAATAGACATTAAATACATATCATGTACACATATGTACATATCATGTACACATATGTACATATCATGTACACATATGTACATATGTGTATAATAATTAAATATATAAGACATATTTAGTATACAACTTAATATAGTATACTATATATTACATAATCTATGTATTTTTATATTTATATTATNTATCATAAAATGCAGTCTATCATAAAATGCAGTCTATCATAAAATGCAGTTTATTGTATCCAAGGTGTCACAGCAGTCCAGGGTGACAGAGCTGTGCCCACAGCTGTCAGCTGCAGGCAGGCCTGGAGACCCTGAGTTTAGATTAAAAACCCACATAAAATAATATAGAGATCTATATAAAATAAATATTAAAATCGATATAAAATAATAAAAATCTATAAGAAAGCATTTATACTTTTGGTTGCAAATGCATTATATCCTTTTTTTTTTGTTACAAATGCATTATTTACTTTTCTTTGCTGAGCATCTTCCCAATCTCTACCTTAACTTTTATCTCTAGCCTACCATAACTGCTATAATTACCATTTTCATGTTGCTGTTCTCCAATCACTAAAAGTCAGTGCATTACAGTTTAAGCTAAAAGTTGTTTTCCAGTTTTTTTTGCAGTAGAAAATTCTTTTTTCTGCTTGCCACATTTGCTGCCTTGTTTGTCTGTGCTATCTTTGTGCTTGGTAAAAACATTTTCTTGTTTGGGGTTTATTCTTTGCTCTAAGCAATAAAAACCCTTCTAACTAACACAGCCTTTGCCTCCTTGGTTATCCAGTGAGATTGCTCAGCAATTCTTTTCTTCTGTATCAAAACTTGCTTTTATTTCTATTCCTTCTGCAGATTCTACATTCAAAAACCTGCCAAGCACACAAATCTGTGAGACTTTATTGTCAAACTTTCATCCTTCCCAGCACTGCAACCCAAAGGAAATCTCCATTTCTGCCTTAACTCCAGTGTGTGCAACCCAAAGGAAATCTCTATTTCTGCTTTAACTCCAGTGTGTGCAACCCAAAAAAAAAAATCTCTATTCCTGCTTTAATTCCAGTGTGTCCAACCCAAAGGAAATCTCCATTTCTGCTTTAATTCCAATGTGTCCAACCCAAAGGAAATCTCCATTTCTGCTGTAACTCCAGTGTGTCCAACCCAAAGGAAATCTCCATTTCTGCTGTAACTCCAGTGTGTTTCTCCCCTCCATCCCAAGGCTCACTAAACCAGGAGGCAGAGCAGTGCAGGGATTGAAGTGACAGATTTTGGCTGCAGGAAATTACATTTCTGGCCCCATCCAAGTGCGGAGAAGAAATATTGCTGCAAAAGCCCCAGCTCAG